TCTGGGGGAATCGGGTTTGGGTAGGCTGACTGCGCACGCAATAACTTCTAAACTAGCTTTGGTGGCTTCAATGTCTTTATTTCACCAACTGGACAGGTGCATAAGGCATGAACATGCCAAATTTCATTAACTTTCTATGTTGGCGTATCGAGTTATACCACAGCAAAGTTCCTGGCACCCAGTTTCGAGGCGGAGTTGATTCGAGGCGGAGTTTGTGGGTTCAATAAACAACGGGTACACCCACGCTGCCACAAAAAATGACCCAAACCAGCTTTGGTGGGAAAACGTTTTTTATTTCACAAAATCAAGGGATGAATAAACTATTAGAATGCAAAATTTCAGAATTCTTCTATATTGGCGTTTCGAGATATATTACCGTAAACATACTAAACATATTGGAGAATCGGGTAAGGGTAGGCTGACTGCGCACGCAATAACTTCTAAACTTCAATATTTTTATTTCACTAAATCGACAGATGAATAAGGTATGCACATGCCAAATTTCATTAACTTTCTATGTTGGCATATCGAGTTATACCACCGCAAAGTTCCTAGCACCCGGATTCGAGGCGGAGTTTGTGGGTTCAATAAACAACGGGTACACCCACGCCGCCACAAAAAATGACCAAAAAGCAGCTTTGGTGGGAAAAAAAATTTTTATTTCACGGAATCAAGAGATGAATAAACTACTAGAATCCAAAATTTCAGAAGGCTCCTATGTTGGCGTTTCGAGATATATTACTGTAAACATACTAAACATATGGGGAAATCGGGTTGGGGTAGGCTGACTGCGCACACAAAAACTTCTAAACTAGCTTTGGTGGCTTCAATATTTTTATTTCACCAACTGGACAGTTGCATAGGGCATGAACATGCCGAATTTCATTAACTTTCTATGTTGGCGTATCGAGTTATACCACCGCAAAGTTCCTAGCACCCTGATTCGAGGCGTAGTTTGTGGGTTCAATAAACAACGAGTACACCCACGCTGCCACAAAAAATGACCCAAGCCAGCTTTGATGGGAAAATGTTTTTTGTTTTACGGAATCAAGGGATGAATAAACTATACTATTCAAAAGAAGTAGGGGATATTTGATTTTGGGGGCATAATACTAAAATATGCAAATGACTACGAAAAAAGTCACTATAGAACCTAACAGAAGAAACATTTCCAGTTACATGTGACGCCCAAACGCACCAATAGCTACCGCATGGAATGCAGGTGATGCTTGGGATCATCATGGGGGTTCAACCCAAGATTTGCACGACTCTGACTTTGAATGTTACAGTCATTGTGGCATTGAATTCCAGGGTGGAAACATCAGTTTAATTGTTTTAGTGACCAGAAAACAAATTTTGATATGCGTCGGCTTACCCAAAATGAAAGGTTACGTGCCCTTGGCATGCTACAGATCGGCACAACACAGGCAGTTGTGGCGCGGACGATGAATGTTTCTCAGTCTGTCATAAGCAGGCTATGGTCCAGATACCGTGATACACAATCTGTACAGGACAGACCAAGCTCAGGTCGACCAAGGGCGACAACTCAAGCCCAGGATCGATTTATCCGTACCTTGGCCTTGAGAAATCGTGTCATCACAGCAAATCAGATCAGCGCTCGTCTTCAAACAGACACTGGTGTGAGAGTGAGTGGCCAGACGATTCGGAATCGACTGCATAGGGGTCACCTTCGCGCCCGACGTCCTCGCGTGATCCCTTGTTTGAGAGATCATCACATTCAGGCAAGACGTCGTTGGTGTAGGGATCGTCAACACTGGGATAATCAACGCTGGAGCAATGTGATGTTTTCAGATGAGTCAAGGTTCACTGTTGATTTTTTGGACAGACGTAGGAGGGTGTGGCGTCGTCGAAACGAGCGCTTCCAAGACGTTAACGTCATCAGACATGATCGATTTGGGGGTGGTTCTGTTATGGTGTGGGGAGGCATCACTGTTGCTGGAAGAACGGCTTTACATGTTGTTGCAGGGCGTGTTACAGGCCAGTACTACCGGGACAACATCTTGGCAGTCCATGTTGTGCCGTTCGCACGACGTCATGGCCGCCGTTTCATCTTCCAGGATGACAACGCAAGATGTCACAGGGCCAGGATCGTTACAGGTTACCTCCAACAACAGAACATCACCACATTACCTTGGCCAGCACTGAGTCCCGACCTCTCCCCCATCGAGCATGTCTGGGACATGCTTGGACAGAGGTTACGTCAACGTCAACAACGTCCTGCCAATGTCCAAGAACTTGCTGCTGCGTTGCAACAGGAATGGGACAATCTGGACCAAAATGACCTTAGACGTCTCATTAGGAGTATGCCACGTCGGATCAATGCTTGTTTGGCAAACAGAGGAGGATTTACCCGTTACTGACTTGGTTGTGATGCTGTGGTAACTTTGCTGTTTGACCCCGGGTATCATTTTACCCTTATAATGGTCAGTCTGTGCCTTATTTAGTCTAACGATCATTTGGAATAAATCGATGAATGTGAACTTCATTTCATTTTGTCATTTGTTTCTTCGTCAGTTTCATTAGGTGACTTTAATAACACTTAAAAATCAAATATCCCCTACTTTTTTTGAATAGTATATTAGAATACAAAATTTCAGAAGGCTCCTATGTTGGCGTTTCTAGATATATCGCCTTAAACATACTATACATATGGGAAGAATCAGGTTAGGGTAGGCTCACTACGCACGTAATAACTTCTAAACTAACTTTGGTGGCTTCAATATTTTTATTTCACTAAATCGACAGATGAATAAGGTATGCACATGCCGAATTCCATTAACTTTCTATGTTGGCGTATTGAGTTATACCACCGCAAAGTTCCTAGTATCCTGATTCGAGGTTGTGCATGTGCATACCTTATTCATCTGTCGATTTATTGAAATAAAGATATTGAAGCCACCAAAGCTAGTTTAGAAGTTATTGCGTGCGCAGTCAGCCTACCCTAACCCGATTCCCCATATGTTTAGTATGTTTACGGTAATATATCTCGAAACGCCATCATAGGAACCTTCTGAAATTTTGTCTTCTAGTAGTTTATTCATTCTTGATTCCGTGAAATAAAAAAACATTTTACCACCAAAGCTGGTTTGGGTCGTTTTTTGACGCAGCGTGGGCGTGCCCGTTGATTATTGAACCAACAAACTCCACCTCGAATCCGGGTGCTAGGAACTTTGCGGTGGTATAACTTGATACGCCAATATAGGAAGTTAATGAAATTTGGCATGTGCATACCTTATTCATCTGTTCAGTTGGTGAAATAAAGATATTGAAGCCACCAAAGCTAGTTTAGAAGTTATTGTGTGCGCAGTCAGCCTACCCCCAACTCTATTCCCCCATATGTTTAGTATGTTTATTGTAATATCTCCAAACGCCAGCATAGGAGCCTTCTGAAATTTTGTATTCTAGTAGTTTATTCATCTCTTGATTCCGTGAAACAAAAAACATTTTCCCACCAATATGTTTAGTATGTTTATACTGTAATATATCTCGAAATGCCAGCATAGGAACCTTCTGAAATTTTGTATTCTAGTAGTTTATTCATCCCTTGATTCCGTGAAATAAAAAACATTTTCCCACCATAGCTGGTTTGGGTCGTTTTTTGATGCAGCGTGGGCGTGCCCGTTGTTTATTGAACCCACAAACTCCACCTCGAATCCGGGTGCTAGGAACTTTGCGGTGGTATAACTCGATACGCCAACATAGAAAGTTAATGAAATTCGGCATGTGCATACCTTATTCATCTGTTCAGTTGGTGAAATAAAGATATTGAAGCCACCAAAGCTAGTTTAGAAGTTATTGTGTGCGCAGTCAGCCTACCCCCAACTCTATTCCCCCATATGTTTAGTATGTTTATTGTAATATCTCCAAACGCCAGCATAGGAGCCTTCTGAAATTTTGTATTCTAGTAGTTTATTCATCTCTTGATTCCGTGAAACAAAAAACATTTTCCCACCAAAGCTGGTTGGGGTATTTTTTGATGCAAAATGTACGTACCCCTTTTTTGCATGCTCAGTTAGCCTAGTGTGCGATATTTTAGTATGTTTACGGTAATAGTACATTTTGGGTGTGTAATCGGGGGATCTATTACATAATACTTTGCATTAATATGTTTTAAAATTTTATTTACTAATATAAAAGTAACAATTACTTTCGTGATAATTATATCTAGATTTTTCTTGGCGCTAGGAATACGTGGGCTTACTTGATCTCGAATCCGAATGCTGGAAATGGAATACCAATCTGTTTCACAGAGAATTACGAGTCTCGTATAATATCTCTGTCATAGATGACTGCCTTAACACGTGCTGTCACAGCACGCGGTGTGAATCATTGGCTGAATGGCGCGTGCATTGTTTACATAAAACATAACTGCTTCGGAGAGAATGCTGCATTTTAGTCAATTTAATACCCATTTACACTAAATCGGAAATAATTTTTACCTACAAATACGTCAAACGCCTTTATTTATTTTTCCAATATATACAAAAAATGTTTTAGAATTTAATTTGTCCCAGGAAAAAAGTTAATATTTCTAGCTCATTAAGCCGCATCAATGTCATCCTTATCAGTGATTGTCGCGGCCAAGCAAATATTCGCTGCGGATCAGTGTGATGGAATACGGTGAGAGAATATGTCTGCTAACTTGATCTCGAATCCGGGTGCTGGAATATGGTTAGAGAATATATGTCTGCCAACTTGATCTCGAATCGGTGTGCTGGAGTACGCTGAGAATTATGTCTGCTAACTAGATCTCGAATCCGAGTGCTGGAATATGGGTGAGAGATTCCGCTCGGTATCTAGGTTTTTACTGGCGCTAGGAATATGTGTGCTAACTTCATTTCGAATCCGGGTGCTGGAATGTGGGTGAGAGATTCCGCTTGGTACAAAGGAAGTGGTATCATCTTGTCGAGAGTAACAAATGTATAAATGGAAGTGATATTGCTGGATTTATTGGCTAATTCTGTGCAATGTTGATGTGGTAATCTGTTTAACGGTTCCATTGGTTGTGGAAGTGACGTCAGTTGAAGGATAACGTACGGAGCACCGGTGAAACGGGTCATCACTGCATGCATCGCAGTTCTAGTCTTAATCTTAATTACATGTATTATTATTTGTTTTGGGGGTGAGTATGACAGTGTGTATGATTGGGTGGATGAATTATTGTGATTTTATAAATATTCTTTTGGGAATAGTTCTTTATTGAAAACTTCTTTAATATGTAGGCTATAGTTCTAGTCCGAGTCCGAAAAGTCACCTGACCGAGTCCGAAAAGTCGCCTGACTGAGTCCGAAACGACCTTTGTGTTGAGTCCGAAATGACGCAGGACCGAAATGACGTGCTACCGTTCTCTTGATGGGGAGAGAATTACTAGTCCGAATCCTGGCCACAGATCACTAATTATTTCCCCATTGACTTTAATGTTAATTCTCGTCTCTTAGACAGGCTCTAACTTTATCCCAAATGTTCGTTGGATAGAACGCTTTCTACCACAGATGGAGCAACATGTGGCAATCTCTTGCCCAAAAGCACGTATGAGGTTCACCATGGAAAACTTGAGATACACAAGCTGGAAGTAGAGACAAAAAAACATGCAATTTTTGACCCTACATTTCAACCTAACCAACCTCTCAACCATAGGCGTACGGGGAAATTTTTGACTGGGGGGGGGCGGTGGTGGTTGGTGCCCAAAAAATGTAGTTAGGTCCTTAGTATGTTACATAATAATAATAAATTTGGTGTTAAATTGGACACATTCAAGAACACAATATTTTTGTATACAACTTTTACAAAGTACAATTGTGTGCCCAAATTTTCCCAGCATTTGGTGCCCAAAATGGGGGGGCGGCCGCCCCTCCCCCCCCCCCCCCCCAGCTCGTACAGCCTATGCTCTCAACACTTGTATCCTTCCGCCTCAAAATCATGAATATTCACCAAAACCTGGCAGAAAATATATTTTCAAACCCTTTTCTTTGATTCTACACCAAAAAGTCAACAAAAATCACCATGCAAAAGGGGGAAAAAGGAAAAGGGAGAGAAAGACTAAAAATAACGGGTGACGGCGTAGAAATATTTTACTTTGGTGAGCTGTGTCCTCCTGGTCAAAGTAAATAGACTAGAGTTACATCCCTTCGCAACCTTGACCTCGAATTCATTTCTAAAATATGGGGGCACTTGCCAAGTGTTGAAAAACTCTTAAATCTCTATCAAAGGAGGGATATATTTAGATTTTAAGGTGAGTTTATGGATAGATTTTGATGTAATACATTATATCAAGTTGTGATATTCATTTAAATCCCTGTAATTTTGAAAAGAGAAAACTTTGAAGTTGCCCAGATGAAGCAAACGTCTGTCTAAAAAAGGGTGCGGGTCAGTTCATCCCACAACCGTTTCCTCTAGGGCTGTTTCATCCCAACGTATTTTTTTACCGGACCGTTTCATATACTTTCACCCCCCTTGTTATTATAATAGCAGTCAATTAACTGAGTTGTACGTATTGTTAAATAATCTGTTAAACACTTACTTATTGATAAATAAACAATAATGTATAGAATAAATAAGTTTTACTCGTCGATTTTTGGGCGCTATTGCACTTTCGTACCTCTACCAGTTCCCGTGGTCGTAGGAACTTGAAATTATTAGAGGATGTTAAGGGGGACTAGCAATGACCACACACCAAATTTCAGCCGAATCGATCAATAACTTTTTATTTTACTGACCTTTTAATTTCTAACGAGAGAGAACTTCATCTGTTTGACGCCATTTGCTTTGTTTACTATTTAGACTCGAATAACAAGACACTAAGACGGAAACCGACACACTGCACTAGCTGCCTATCTCTGCAGTTCATAAAAATTAATATAATTTTCGTATACTTTAATTTTTGCGCGAAGCCACCATGTTCTATAAAATACTATTTGGTGTTGATGAGTGGATTGGCCTTTAGGTGTAAATATTGCCGTGACCTTGATTTTGACCTTGAGTCTTAACTTCCCATCCATATCAGGGCCTTTGCGTTTATGATTGCCGTGGCCTTATTTCTTACTGTATTTTCAAAGTTAATGTTCGAGGTGAAAGCAGAGACGACGTCCTTCAGAAAAGATAATTGGGTCAAAGTCGTAGGTCAAGGTCATAATACAGAAAACTAAACTCAAACTTTTCAAAGTCATTTTTTGAACATTTGACCTTGACTTACGACCTTGACCCCGTAACCGTTTTCGAAGGCTATCATCTTGGCTTGAATCATGGACGTTTACCTTGGTTCTGTCACACACTGCTCGGTCAGAAAAGGGTCAAACGCAGAGGGGCCGTGTCCGAAAGGAAGTCAATGGGCGTGGTCAATGTGAAAGGTTGTGGTGACCTCCACTAGTCACCGTTAACCATCCGTGACCTTGAACCTGACCTAGTGTCCGAACTTCCCATCCATCTCGGGCCCTTTGCGTTTATGTGTGCCGTGACCTTATTTCTTACTGTATTATCAAAGTTAATGTTCGAGGTGAAAGCAGAGACGGCGTCATTCAGAAAAGATAATTGGGTCAAAGTCGTAGGTCAAGGTCATGTTACAGAAAACTAAACTCAAACTTTTCAAAGTCATTTTTGGGACAGGGCCAGGGTAAACGTCGATGGTTCAAGCCAAGATGATGGGCTTTGAAAATGGTTACGGGTCAAGCTCGTAAGTCAAGGTCAAATGTCCCAAAACTGACCTTGAAAAGTTTGAGTTCAGTTTTCTATAACATGACCTTGACCTACGACTTTGACCCAATTATCTTTTCTGAGGGACGTTGTCTTTGCTTTCACCTCAAGCATTAACTTTGATAATACAGTAAGAAATAGGGTCACGGCAAGCATAAACGAAAAGGGCCCGAGATTGATGGGAAGTTTGGACTCAAGGTCGAAGTCAAGGTCACGGATGGTTAAAGGTGACTAGTGGAGGTCACCACGAACTTTCACATTGACCACGCCCTTTGACTTCCTTTCGGACACGGGCCCCTCTGCGTTTGACCGTTTTCTGACCGAGCAGTGTGCGACAGGGCCAAGGTAACCGTCGATGGTTCAAGCCACGATTATGGGCTTTGAAAATGGTTATGGGATCAAGGTCGTAAGTCAAGGTCAAATGTCCCAAAACTGACTTTGAAAAGTTTGAGTTCAGTTTTCTGTAACATGACCTTGACCTACGACTTTGACCCATTTATCTTTTCTGAAGGACGTTGTCTCTGCTTTCACCTCAAGCATTAACTTTGATAATACAGTAAGAAATAGGGTCACGGCAAGCATAAACAAAAAGGGCCCGAGATTGATGGGAAGTGTGGACTCAAGTTCAAAGTCAAGGTCACGGATGATTAAAGGTGACTAGTGGAGGTCACCACGACCTTTCACATTGACCACGCCCATTGACTTCCTTTCGGACACGGGCCCTTTGCGTTTGACCCTTTTCTGACCGAACAGTGTGCGACAGGACCAAAGTAAACGTCGATGGTTCAAGCCAAGGTGATAGCCTTCGAAAATGGTTACGAGGTCAAGGTCGTAAGTCAAGGTCAAATGTCCCAAAACTGACTTTGAAAAGTCCGAGTTTAGTTTTCTGTAAGATGACCTTGACCTACGACTTTGACCCAAGTATCTTTTCTGAAGGACGTCGTCTCTGCTTTCACCTCGAACATTAACTTTGATAATACAGTTAGAAATAAGGCCACGGCAAGCATAAACGCAAAGGGCCCGAGATGGATGGGACGTTTGGACTCAAGGTCAGAGTCAAGGTTACGGATGGTTAACGGTGACTAGTGGAGGTCACCACGACCTTTCACATTGACCACGCCCATTGACTTCCTTTCGGACACGGACCCTCTGCGTTTGACCGTTTTCTGACCGAGCAGTGTGCGACAGGACCAAGTTAAACGTTCATGATTCAAGCCAATGTGATAACCTTCGAAAATGGTTACGGGGTCAAGGTCGTAAGTCAAGGTCAAATGTCCCAAAAATGACTTTGAAAAATTTGAGTTTAGTTTTCTGTAAGATGACCTTGACCTACGACTTTGACCCACGTATCTTTTCTGAAGGACGTCGTCTCTGCTTTCACCTCGAACATTAACTTTGATAATACAGTTAGAAATAAGGCCACGGCAAGCATAAACGCAAAGGCCCCGATATGGATGGGAAGTTTGGCCTCAAGGTCAAAATCAAGGTCACGGCAATATTTACACCTAGCGCCAATTTTTGTTGATTACACTACAGATCACGAGGCGCTATTGCACTTTCGTACCTCTAACAGTTCCCGTGGTCGTAGGCACTTGAAATTTTCAGAGAATGTTAAGGGGGGCTAGCAATGACCACACACCAAATTTCAACCGAATCGATCAATAACTTTTTATTTTACCGACCTTTTAATTTCTAACGAGAGAGAACTTCATCCTTTTGACGCCATTTGCTTTGTTTACTATTTAGACTCGAATAACAAGACACTAAGACGGAAACCGACACACTGCACTAGCTGCCTAACACTGCAGTTCATAAAAATTAATATAATTTTCGTATACTTTAATTTATGCGTGAAGCCACCATTTTCTATAAAATACTATTTGGTGTTGATCAGTGGATTGGACTTTAGGTGTAAATATTGCCGTGACCTTGATTTTGACCTTGAGGCCAAACTTCCCATCCATATCGGGGCCTTTGCGTTTATGCTTGCCGTGGCCTTATTTCTTACTGTATTATCAAAGTTAATGTTCGAGGTGAAAGCAGAGACGACGTCCTTCAGAAAAGATAATTGGGTCAAGTCGTAGGTCAAGGTCATCTTACAGAAAACTAAACTCAAACTTTTCAAAGTCATTTTTGGGACATTTGACCTTGACTTACGACCTTCGCCCCGTAACCATTTCGAAGGCTATCACCTTGGCTTGAATCATGGACGTTTACCTTGGTCCTGTCGCACATTGCTCGGTCAGAAAACGGTCAAACGCAGAGGGCCCGTGTCCGAAAGGAAGTCAATGGGTGTGGTCAATGTGAAAGTTTGTGGTGACCTCCATTAGTCACCTTTTAACCATCCGTGACCTTGACTATGAGTCCAAACTTCCCATCCATCTCGCGCCCTTTTCGTTTATGCTTGCTGTGCCCCTATTTCTTACTGTATTA